TCAATATTCTTAGCGTTGAACTGTGATTTGTGTAAGAGATTCGATATTTCATAATACGTATATTCAAGAGTCTTAAAATGTCAGTGTATGCTGTAAACGCATTTTTATAGGTGAAAAGCGTAAGGAATAATAAAACATTATTCTTGAAAATTATACTGCAACGTGATCCTTGAATTTGTCAAGACCAAATTTTTCTGCTGGGGAAGAGATTTTGAGTATTTAGCATATTACGGAAAACGTTTTTCCCGACTTTGGGCAACATTCAGTCTTTCTTCAAAATTTTATGACATTTTGGTTGATGTATACCTTGGGGGGAAGATAACTAAAGAAAAATATCTCAAAATGTTTGGTTGTTCTTTCAAAATTATTTTGGGTGCACGAAAGTCTTAACAGCCATTATGTGTTTTAAAGCATAAAAACCATATAGAATACCGTCATATAAATCTTGCATGGAATTCTGGAAATACAGTATTTCTAAACGTGCTGAAATTTTTGTCAGTCCAAGATTTTTGAAGAGTAATTGTGAACGCTGATTTTTTTTAAATAGTTTAGGAGGCCTTGAATATTTCGAAGAAGGTTCTGCATTATTTGAGAAGAATTTGTTCATTTTGAATTTTCTGTCGTGTGACTTGTGTCAAAATGTAGAAACTTTCTGATCAAAATCAAATTCTTGATCTCTAATGCGTGGTTCTTGTCCTAGAAACTCGTTTTGTTTCTTGTGGCCATTTTCTAGTGAAAAGGGGATTGAGTTTTTCAGTTTTACGTTTATACTCATCGCTCATGGTTGGAAAATGTGGACTTCGTTCCAGTGCTGCTGAGAATTTTGTTCTTGTTTGTTCTTCCCTTGTGCTAAGTTTGTTTTTCTGTCCATTACTGTCCTGCGTCGATATTTTTGAATACACCCTGTATACACTTTCTGTTAAAATTTCCAGAAGAGCGTTTTCAAACTGAAAAGTCATGAAATTTACTATTCCAACACTCGATGTAGTAACTTCCATAGAATTTTTCAAGCGGCGAAATAATAATTTTTTCATTGGTACTGTTTCGAAGTTTTTCCGTGAATCGCATCGATTCCGGAGAAGTCAATGAGTCAGATACGACCGAGATGAGTTATTAATTTCTGAGTCAATGAACTTTGGAAATTGACAAGAAAGTGGGTGAAGCACTTCCAGTGCCTGTGCAAGGGTCAACTATCTCGTGGAATTTCGTTCCACTTAAATTTTTAAATGAAATAACTTCTTATCGGTTATTTCCGGTCTTATTTATTGCGAAAAACTAGGTGGTCCATGTTTGTGGGAGCCATACTTGGAATGGGAAATACCATAAAGACCTGTATCACTGAAAATATTCGCCTAAAATGTCCTCATTGCTGATCCAATTTTGTAAAAATCTCATCGAATATCGCAATTTTCCCATAAACACCAACTCCAATCTATTATATTTCCTATAGTTCACGATATTCGATTCTAATATAACATGCATTTAAATGTTCGTCAAAAACCTCAACTATTTCATAATAAAACCAGGAGCTTTGCGTATTAATATACGTGTGTGATCAGCTGATCTAAAAGAGAGTATTATCTTCAAAAATACTGTAATTAAGAATTTGTTGAGGACGCAACTACTTTTTTCATTTGGGATTGTACGTAGCTTGATCTTGGATTACCGATCACCTGTGCATATACAGTATCAGAAAACTAAAGTTACTCCTTCAATTCATCAAGTGCACTGCATGCTTTTTAAAGAGCTTGATTATGATGATGATGCTCATATAGGAGTGTCTCATTCACACCTAAAGGGAGTTGTCCTCACTGGACCAAATAATGAGTAGAATGTGTCACACTCATCCCACTCAAACTTATTCCGAGTCCATTGACGTTGTTGTCTCAGAAATAAAACCATAAAATATTTATTATACCAGCCTGTTGCCTTAGATCTCAGATGTCAGCAGTATATGAGAGGGTTGGTTCATAAGGTTTGAGACTTTTTGAAACAGATCCAACCCAGCCTCAAAAATTCAAAATGTTCTTTGTTTTGCATAGCCACATTATCTGGCAATAATACGACAGTGCTGTTCAACATTCACTTTGCAGATTTCAATACAGTTTTTCCTTCAATAATTCCAAAAATCGAATCAACTAAGAGCCAAAAATTGAATGTTCATTAAGGCACTGTTTGATGATGAAAATGGGGATGTCCCTGTCTTCAACATCAATCCCTTCCTTTTTTTTTTTTGCACTCACTGTTGGGAACATGCAGGAATCAAAAGGTGCCCAATCAACTAATGGATCTCGATTTTCGGAGCTTTTCCGATCCTTGGATTTATCCCTTAAAAAATTGAATTGAATTCGGCGAAGAGTATGTTGAACAGCACCTATACTCAAATGTTGCCAATTTATGAGGATATGCGAATAAATTATTTTTAATTGCTGAAACTCCGTCGGATCTATTTCAAAAAGTCGCGTAACTTATGCACCAACCCTCGATTATGCAAAAAAAAAGGAGATTAGATTAGTTAAAATTCAACTGCTAAAAGAATCTCCCGCGGAGGAAATAAATTATTTCACCTTCAGTACTGCTGTGGTTCGACTCGTGTATATAGTAGCACACTAGCGTTGTTAACTGAGAAAATCGACGAGAACTCGTGACAATCGCACTTGCGAGATTGAGGTGTTGATAGTCAGTAATTTACATCCCGCGTGTCTACTAACATCCCGGATGTAAATGCTTCTGTCTGTGACGTAAATGGGATTGTTCAGGGAATTTAGCAACAGCCTAGCTTGAAAGCAAGTGGTGCCTTGGACATGTGAACGCGTATATTTCCTGACGATGGTGAGCGAGATAAAATAAGTTTTCTACATTTTAAAACGCAGCAAAGAATTAAAAAATGTGATCACCCGGGAATATTAACATAGAAAATTTTTGGGACAGATTCGGCATTCAAAAACTTTTGACAATGCAAAGCTTTATTCTTGACACCAAAAAACATTCATTAAGAAAAACATTGTTCCGGGTAAGTTTGAGTGATTTAATTTGGATTAGCCAAGAGTCCCAAGACTGATGAGGACGTGTGTTCTTCTGAACTCATTTGTTGGTGAATTATGAGGCCTAATTTCAATTTCATCATAGAATTTTAGGTTTTTTTCAATTTTTGTGAGAAGAAAATGTATAGTGAGACCTCAAGATTTAAATGTGATTGCTGGCGCTTGCACCTTGTCCTCATGTCATGGTATTCATATATGTTGCATCTAAGCTTCCCAAAATAATACCAATGAAAGCATATTCAATTGGTCCTCCAGTCCTCTTGTTCATCTAGAATTATGAAAAAGTACTCCAAAGTGGAGGGACAATTTTTCTCCGCTTCAAGATGCAGATAATAACTATGCAAAAGAAAACAACAAAGAATCTGATATATTATTTTCAGAAAAAGCTCTTATAGAAGCGAATAACAAATAAAGTTCTTGCTGCTTGCACAATTTGTTGCATGCAAAAAGGATTCAACTATGAAAAGCACGAATTTAACCTCTTTTTATTATTTATTGGAGTAACATATTTTCTCAATAATGTACCACATGCACTGGAGTAAGATGTGCTTCTCCAATTTTTGTATGACATTTTCAAAATCGCATCCCCACAAAAAACACATAACCCAGTTTAAAATTGTTGAAAATCAAATTTGTATTCAAAATTATAATATTTAACAAAACCATCTCATATTAAATAATAAAATGAGTTACACTCTCTTAACTGAGTTTGAGCCCAATAAATTTCCCTGCTAATTATTTTCACCCACTAAGTAATCACTTATCATTCTCCCCCAGACTCCAGAAAATATATTCTGGCATCAAATACACCCCTTCAATGGAGGGAGCTATACTGTATGTATATTCTAAAAATTTTAAAAGCAAACATTAAGAAACTACGGTCACTCAAGTACCATGCACATCTTTTTTTTGGCAAAATTTTGCAGAAAATGTTGCTTATGGTACTTGAGTAACTAGTATACAATACACCATTGAGTAAATAGAGTGGTTTCTTGATAATTTGACAACATTTTAGAATGCAAATATTGTTGCTCACTTCATTGAAGAAATAATTTTTTAAATGTATGGGTCGAATATTTTTAAAAATGATTGAAATGTATCTGTATGTTCAGACTTTTTCCAGGTGTTGGGCATGTTTTCAAGATTAAAATGTTCCAAGTCGAATCGTCCACATGTTGGAATCCCCTTGTATATACGAACATATGCTGGAACTCAGGAATCCATGGGTGTGGCACGTCTCGTCCTGTTCAGGAAAATTCAATGTTGGCGTTTGATTCCTTCCTCCACCTACGCAAATTACAGTTTCTTGGAAAAACGTGAACCTTCAACCTTCCACTTGGGTACCTTCATTTTTGAGGAAGGTTACCAAACCTTATGGGCAAACACAGATGCTGTGACTAAATAATTCAAATATTGTTCAGATCAACAGAACGAAACATTTCGCTGGCTACTTTTCTCTCTTTACATGAGTGATGATCGGTGGGGTGGACAATAACGGTTTTATTTTTTTTCGGTCCCCAAGGTCGAGTTTCTCATCTACAAGTCCGTGATACTGTTTCATGCTGAAGTGTCATGAGAATCCATTATCTCCTTTACAAGGTTTATGTATTCCAGTTTTGGAAAACCGCAAATTGCGAAGCCTTCCCCAATTTCACAATCGGTTTAGCGGTTCTCAAGGATCAACCACGGATTAAAAAAAATAAAAATAGAACAAAAAGAAACGTTTAAAACATGACAAGCTTAGAATCGCGAGCACTTGCCTGTTTTTCATCTGAATGAGGTGCGAGGAGGATTTCTACGTTTCAATGTGGTGCCGGAATTGACACTCACACAGTATTATTTTTTTTTTCGAAGATGGAACTTCTTATTCAGGAAGCGAGATTTTTCATTTGTCATTGTAAAAATGAATTTCGCAGTTTGGCTTGCGCAAAAGCTACGTAATGTTGATCTGAAGTATTGCTTAATTTTTCAGGATGGGACTTCTGAAATTGTTCGTGAGTGCTTTGATACTTGTGCTTGTGAATTCCAACTGCGTAGCGAATTGTCAGGAATTGCATGGCAGTGACTCCCAGTATTCGTCAGGAGTATCTCAGCAGCCACGGAATTACGTGAGCAATGGGGAAGGTGTCGCTGCTTACCAACAAGCTCATGTTCGGAATGCTGTGAATCAACACAGTGGATACAGCGCTTATTACAGGTGTAGTACTATGACAACTATTTTTGTTGCAAGTGGTCATACAAATGGTTTTTGTGACTGTGCCTTGGGACTTGGCACCATAAAGCTATACATCAAAAAAGGGAATTGAAGAAACTTCGATTTCGTTTTTTATTGCTGAAGCTTAATTGGCTTACTGAGCCGCATGCAAAAATAGGTTTACTTTTTCCTGCCTTACCTGCAAATAAATTGTTCCACGTATGCATTCTTGCATATTTTATGGTTGTTCCCCGACATATATACTGTATGTTGCATACACAGTACAGTATTGTTTATAGCAAGGCTGGTGGGTATACGGGCTTACCTATGATATTCTTCGCAATGAGAGATATTCTGATAGGAATATATATATATATCTATCGATTCAAATAATTCGCACAGCAGAAAAAAAAACGTCACGCAGATTTTGACCAAATGTGGGAATGGCATGAAGCCGAATTGGTTTGACCGAATGCGTGCTTTTGACAAAATGTTTTGCCAATCGCCGATATTTAAAATTTTATGAATCTTTTTGACATTTCCAATAAGAAGATTGCGATGCTCATTCCATGGAATATGAGTGATAAAATATATTTCAAGGATGAAAATCGTTTTTTGAAATATTTGTATGAAGAATGCTCCAATGTAACTCAAGTAATGTAAACATTATTTTCGTCTTCATAAAAATATTTTCTGGCAAAGAATGACCCTGAAGACATTCTTTCTTCAAATTGGTTCATCTCTCGTGAAATGATAAAAAGTGTACTATTTTTATGGTGTCCAAAAAAAAATCAACCGGGACGAAATCGCGTGAACTCTCAAAATGATGTACATTTTTCTTGATTTTTTTTCGGTTCCCCTCGGAGTTTTTTTATATCAGGAAATACGCTGGAAGTTTGAAAATAATGGGAATGTCTGTTTGTCTTCCAGGACGGACTATTATGACCCCAGGGCCACGTGCAGCTCTCACTTCGGACAATCGGGCACGTGCAAACCCCTGGTCAGCTGCTCCATCCACTACACAAGGATCGTAGATGCTTTGCAGACACCATGTTACTTGCCTGATGGCATGGTGGGGGTCTGCTGTCAAGACCAGAGTGAGTCAATTCACAAGTACTCCATCTGAAAGTCTGAGGAAAAAAAATTATAATGAAAAGACGACGTCACTCACTGATCGTTGACAAAAACAACTGGACACCTTTTTTTGTCACTGTATGATGTGTGTGTGTAACCTCCAGCCTGGAGGAATTATTACCCCTAGGTGTTGCTGGGATTTATCAATAAATTGTGCCACAAGGAGTGAGAAGCACAGAAACAAGAAGGATTGGCAAATAAGCCAAATAAGTTGGGGAATATCCCAAATTTGTTTTGCATTTCTGCAGAAAAATTTTCATTGAAAAAAAAAGTTACTGTTGGCTGGCATTTTTTTCCTGCATTGCTGTCATAGGATTAACATACAATGGCTTTCCCTTGCCCCATTTTTTTCTCAACTTTGGCTACTCAGCCAGAGCTGCATTTTGGTGACCTTTGGTCAAATGAAAACATGCAAGATTGCAAAAAAATGTGGAAATGGAAAAGGACCTGCCACCACTCAAGGGTCTTGACCACAAAAGTTCAATTTATTTAGTTTTGGTGTTCAGTTTTGTATATGTTTCTTGAAGATCAGATTACTGTACAATATTTCCTTCCAACTAAAAACCATCCAATTCAATTTGCAACTGGAAGATCAAGTCCTTCTATTTTAGACAAATGAAAAATATAAATAAATTATTCCTCAGTACTGTTTATACATTTTGAATGGTCTCCAAACTCCAAGAAAAACATGAAAAATGAGTGCTCAGACCCTGTCTGAACACCTGGGGATGAAAGCCTTCATTCCTCTTCCAGAGGATGAGTGAGAATTTAGTATTAAAGGTCCTTTTGGATTAAATTACCTTATTAATTCTTCTGAGCTAACCAAATAATTGTACAAATGACTTTGCAATTGAAAGCATTTTAACAACAGCCAAATGACAATCCAGGCAATGAGAATGAAGTACTCTGAAAAGAGTTTGAGTTCTTATTCAAAACTTGCAATCTGATGGCTACTCAATTCAATTCCTTGACAAAGTCCAACTTTGCCCAGGGATGGAAAGGAGGCTGCCACTGTCCAAGGGTTAGAGAGGTGTGACTGTACCAGGACCTTTGCAAAAAAAAAAACTATTAAAATAACACACACCACTCCTTGTATACCCCTATTTGTTGTACATAATATAATTCCCCCAGCCTAAGAAAGTTATCTTCTATTCTCGCCCTCCGGACTTGACTGATTGACATGCATTATTTCCTTCCTTCCTTCCCGGTGGTGGGTTTCCCGCATGCTGTGCGGTCAGGCCCAGCCCCTTACCCACCCAACAATGAAATAATCCTGGACGTGAAGGGCAAGAAGAAGATCAGGTTCCCCAACATCAGCCCGTACGAAGTGACGTCCGCTGTCAAGTCGGGCCAGAGGGCCGTGCAGAAGGTGCAACTGCTCCAGGAAGAGCTCTTCAGGCAGAACATCGTGGTTCCCCGAGAAACGTCGGCGTCGTACCACCAGAAGTTCTTCACCACCACCCAACGGGCCCTGGACCAGGGCGTGGGGGCTTCGAAAAATCTGGAAGCCTGCAAAACGCTCGTCAACAGGTCACTTTCCCTTCTTGATTATTCATGTCAAATGATCATTAACGAACGGAATATTTCATGATTTTTAATTAAGCTCGAAAATGTCCTTAATTCAGAATAGGACTGTTACCTGCTTGTTACAGGTTATGAATGATTTCCTGTAAAATTCTCTCATAATCAATTGAACAAAAATCAATTCGTTGTCAAATTGAGTGATGATTTATTCCTACAATACTGTAGAACTTTTGGGCGGCTTCAATAACATTAATTATGAGTGCGCAAAAAATGTTTTTCGTATTGCAATCAGCCAGAAAAAATTCTGTGAAGTTTGCATCAGATACAAGTGCGATATCCCAACATAAATTTTAGGATGTATGATGAATTTAAAGCATGAGAACAAAAGGATATGAATATACGTAGTAAAAAATGACGATAGTGTAACATCTGTAAGACTATCTTAATTCTTTTGAAATAAAATATACCGTTCAAAACTTTCAAAAAATATTTGCGCAATATGATTAAATCATATTCATGACATTAATCTCCTGCGGTCTCAGCAGGAAAAATGTCATGTACAAAAATTGATCATTCAACGAGCTCAAGTTCGGGAATATTTTTTTTACTTTACGCGTATTCTTGATATTTTAATGGATTTCATGACTTTTTCTCAACAAGCATTGTAACATCTAAACACATTCAATTTCGCATATATGGTGTTCAGTCCAAAAAATCATTTTTTTCAAGCCAAATCTTTCGCTTTGCAGATACTGAGCAGTTTGCGAAGATAGGCAGCATTAGTTCTTGTTATTCTTCGTGCAAAGGAATTACAAATGATAATACAGTATAGAGCTCGACTGCGGATAGAAAAAAAGCTTTTTATCACGCTTCATAAAAATTAAATCCGGGAACCACGAATGCGATAAAACTTACGCCATGTTGTCAGCAAAATGCCTGAAACGTCTTGTATAGCAGGAAAAAACGTTTGTGGTTGGATATGCGAGGCCACTGAAAAGTAAGTGATTAAATGTAAGTGGCGGCAAAAGAATGAAAAGTAAAAAGCTGAAGTTTTTATAGGTGTCTTATACGGCGTAAAATTAATCAATAAAATCATGAAATTTTTGTTTCACTTTAAAATCACGAAGCATTTTTGGGGTTTTACGGAATATAAGTTTTTTTCTAATCCGAAACTTTTTTCTCATTTGAGAACATTTTCAGGCTTTCTGCATATGAACTGAGGCCCTGTACTCAGTAATTAGTTTATTCCAGTTCCCAAATTTTGATAAAAAAATTCAAATCTGAAGCGGGAAGTTTTCCTTCAAGCTCTCACCTGAGTATAATCAGCAATTTATTTTTGGAATATTTTCATAAGAGAGGTAAAAGCAAACTTATTTCAGTAAAAAAAATCGTGTGTTGCTTAAAAAAAAATGTTGAAGGTCTTTAAAATAACGTACCTCGGATTATCCCGGAACCTTGTTAGTCATTCATTTCTGAACCAAAGCCTTGAATGAATTACAGCATCTGTAGAATACAAATTTCATTCATCAATTTCCAACTCGCATAAGGTAACTTCCTGAACAACAAATAATGAGTGTTCAACCGTGTTGCAATAAGCCTCTCGAAATATTGCCTACGTCACTTCCCACCTTGAGAAAAAACTGAAGATAGAAATCAACATCTTTTTGCCCGCAGGGGAATACTCTGTTTGAAATAGTCTTCTCCTTCGGGTGAAGATTAATTTTACGAGTGAAGCTTACGTCAGAGAACTGCTGTGAACCTTCAGGCGAATATATATATACTGTATACTGTATATATACTCGTGAATGTAAATCAGCCCCAAGGCACAGGAAAAGAAACTACGTAGGAAACTTTCCAACGGAACCATATGATTCACCAACTTTATCCCATCGCGAGTTTAAGTTTTCTATATGAGCCAGTTATTGTGATTGTTTGAGGACCTTGGGGTTGCGAAAATTTACTGGTCGTATTAAAATAACGACGAGACCAAGAATCGGAATGAATCATCAGCAGACGAAATAATCACGACTCATCGAGTCCGAGGTCTCTCTCCAGCAATTGTATTACACAGGCATCAAATGGAGAGGTTTTTTTTTGGGTACAGCGATTAAGATTATGATTGGCAGACGCCCATCAAAGGGGTTCTCTACGGGAAAATACAGCCTTTCGTTGGAGTAACGCACTTCAATGTATCAAACTTATTGCTATAATGGATTTCGGGCTCCTGACCTTGTCAATTAATATTTCTATTTTGTTTTGTGTTTGTATTTAGTTATGTATATAAAGAGCCTGACGGATCCATTTAACAACACCGACGTCATGGGAACTATAATCACAAGGATGAAGGGGAAAAAACTTGGTACAATACGCGAGGGGTCTAATGAAAGATCTCGGACGTAAAAAGTGGAATGGCGCATACTGGAAATCCAATATTGTAAAAAAAAAATCTTTTGCATAAAAGGTGATTTCAGCCCGATTAATACCATGCCAATTTCAAGAATTCTAAAGAGAAAGCTGGGTTAGACCAAAGAATGGGAGATTTCCTTGGAGACTGGCTTGTTTTATCAGAGCCTTTGAGGGCTTATTACAGGTTTTTTTTCTGGTCAGGGAGATTAATTTATTATCAAATAACAACTGTGCGCAGTGATAAATGTAGAAGTTCAGACATATATATAGGGACAAGTTCCAAGCACAAACTATCTTAGGATCTCAGGGCCCAACTGCAATTCCACGTATTTCTTGAATAAATTTACGCTATAAAGGACAGTCCGTTTAAGGTCATTCAAAGTTTGGGGTGATGTAAAAGTATATATTTCTTGGCATAAGGAGCACTTATTGAGTTCATTTTGTGGAATCATGCGAAGCCTGCAATCAACAGATATCAAATGTCACTTGTTGAATCTTTGCAGATTCTCCTTGTCAAAGGATCAAGCACTGTTTGGTTTGCCAACACTATCAGTCATGGAGACTGACATTGCAAGCACCTGTCCTTCTGTGCCAAACTGTAACACTGACACCAGGTACAGAGCCATTGATGGATCTTGCAATAACCTGCAAAATCCAAACTGGGGAAGAGCCAGAACTGCAATGCAGCGTATTTTGGAGCCGGATTACGCTGATGGTGATTCACTTCACTTCTCATTTTTAAATTTGCTGTTTTTAAATATATGCAGAGTGTCTTATTTACTCAAGCATCAGACACACCTTTTTCTCCAATTCAAAATGAAAAAAGAGGTGCACCCCATAGGCTGGTATATACTTTTTTAAAATTTAGGTGCACATTATACTTGAGTGCATTGAAGAATTTTCAAGAAACTCAATAGAAAAGCCTATTTAATTGAGAAAAAAAGAAAAAAATTAGTTGAATTCAGGTTCAATTCATGCCTAAATTGAAATTTGGGTGATCTTGTCTTCCAAAAACAGGTGGTACCTTACAATTCGGCCATAATCCATTGCCAGACTAGGGTTGAATTGGAAAGTGGTCACATTGGGTGCGCTTTTAAAAATTAAGAAAAAATAACAAAAACATGAGAAAAGGGACTGAAGGAAGTCAGATTGTGATGCAGAGGTGGAGTTTTACGTCAACCTCCCAGCAAATTCAATCATCAAATTGCATGATTTTCAAATGGCTTGAGGTCAAATTGCAAGGTACCATCTGCATTAAAACTTTAGAATCACTCAAAATGGGGTTTGCAGCATGCTTCTTGTGGATAAAGTTTCATCCAAATGTTTGACTCAAAAACCCTGGTGCACATCTTACTCAAAAGCTTAATTGTGGTACAGTATTTGAGGTAATACTGCATGTGATACATTCTCTGATTTGAATAATTGTACTGCTAGATCAGCAAACTTATGAGTCATACATTGGGAATGTAGCTAATTATTGTTATTATTTTGTTCCTTTTTCAAATCAACATCATAGACCCAAGACAAATTTTTTTTCAAGTTCGCTGCTTCTCAAATTCCTGAGAGTGATGAAGATATGATTCCTACTTTTATGCGTATTCAAAAATTGATTCCATTATATTTTTAGGATTGTTCATGCCCCGCATGGGGAAATCAGGAAGACAACTTCCAAGCCCAAGAAAAGTAAGTGCAAACGTGGTAGCTGACGTGGACAGGCCATTCAGAAACTTGACACTGATGGTCATGCAGTGGGGTCAATTTCTGGATCATGACCTCACACACACACCCATCGAAAAGGCAAGATTCCTTCCAAAAATAGGTTGCGAAGTCCTTTAGCTATTGTGAATGTTTATCGTTCTCATTTTTGGGCTGATGATTTGAGCAGGGACAAAATCAGTCTGGCATAAAATGCTGTGACGAAGATGGCAAGTCTTTCATCCGACAAGATCTCCGCCATCCGGCTTGCTTGCCAATTGAAATTCCGAGGGATGACCCGTATTATGCGAGGTTTGGTCAGATTTGCATGGAGTTTGTCAGGTCACTGCCAGCACCCAGGGATGACTGTGCTTTTGGACCCAGGCAGCAGGTCAGTGAAGCAGGAAAAAATAATGTATATTGACATCAGCTCAAACTATTTTACGAACTTTGGACAGTCTCATTTGGTTCACAAAATTTACGTCCAAAAGGAGTGAGACGTGCGCTGAAGTTTTAAACATCATAAAGAAAAATTGCGAAGTGGTGCGAAAATCGGTGGCCTTGGGCTGACTCAACTTTCAATCACGCGAAGTTGTGCCAAATTTTATAAACCTCATGTCAGAATAAATATTATTGTGAGACTAAAACATATCTATTGAAGTTTGAAATTTCGGCGATTCCCGACAAAGCCAGACTTTTTTCAATCGCTATACAAAAAAGTATGTCTGTGTTATTTAGTCTCTTGAAGCCCCGTTTTTAATGATTTCTTTTGAAGCACCACGTTATCTATCATCACTACTGTATACAATTTAGACTAATGACCTCGCAAGCCGTACAAAGTTCTCGGGAAACTAATTCAGTAAATGCCGAAATATTTAGGTTACGTCGTAACTGCATCAAATAAAGCGCTTTCTGGGAAAACGAGCTACCTGAGTTTGATCGAAGGTGCTTCTCGATTCTCGGAACGAGAGGATATCTTTTTATTCGGAAATGAAAAATAATGTTATGGTCTTTTCGAGCAGGTGATATCTTGTAAGAAGTCAGCTTTGGGATTTGCTTTTTTTTCTCTTGCAGCGAAGAAAAATGTCTAGGTCGAATCGCAAAAAAAAAAAAAAAAAAAAACCACNAAAAAAAAAAAAAAAAAAAAAAAAAAAAAAAAAAAAAAAAGCATCCACAGGAAGCGACAATCGCTTGGTTTTTTTTTTCTTGCCCGTCGTTCTATAAACGGAGTGCCCTACTATTTCCTTATGACTTACGAAATACTGTACTGACATCAAGTCTGAGTATGATGACTCCATTCTTCTTCAATCAACGAATATTTTCAGTTTGAAAAATGTGTCTTTTGATAGGAAAAGTTCGGAATCTCCGCTCTCTTTATTCAGAGTTGCGAATACTTGGCAATATTAAAAATTAAGCAATTACTGGCCAAGAATCCCTACTTTAACTTTGAGATGTATTTAAATTCTCCCAACAATATTTTAGATCTTTAAGAACAATTTAAGAAGACGCACAATAAGACAAAACAACAACAACAACTCTCAGCAAGCTCTCAATGTTTGGACACAGATGTGATTCCCCATGACAGCTCAAGACAGACTGATGAAAATTCGGAATAAAAATATAATTTAGCAATTATTTCGAATGGCTGTGATCCAGTACTCTGTTCTGGATCAGGTAAATTCTTAGAGGCCAGGGATTTGCCAGAATAATCACAATAAAAGACAATGATGGAGATCAAAGCCCTCGGTAGAAAGTTCTCAAAGCTTTGCTACTCTTAATTGTTTTTAATGTTTGGCAGTTTTTCCAACCAATTATTTCTTGCCTTGAATAATGAGGCACATATCACACTGGGTGGTGGGTTCCCAAAATGGAATCACTGTGGTATCCAATGCATTATATTCAATGTGAATACCCATACACAAAAATATAACCTAGAACATTATTGGGCATTTTTTTTTGGTAATACAGTCAACCCCCGTCTAACGGACTTGATTTGTGCAAGGGACAAGTCTGTTAAACAAAAAGTCCTTTACACTGATTCAATTACATAAAAAAT